TAGAGCTGCAGGTGTGGGCTCTGGCAGAGGGGCACTCGGGGAGGGGGGGCTGGGCCAGTGTGTGGCCACACTCCTGTCTGAGCATGCGTGTACAAACTGAAGACAGCAGAATGGCTGTGACCTCACTAGTCATCAGTCCAGGGGTCGGAGACCTGGCTCAGGCTGCCGGAGTCACAGTCACTTGGGAGCTTGTCACCCGTGCCAGTTTCTGAGCCTACTGCAGAAAGTTCTCACTCAGTAGAGTGAGGTCAGGTTTGAGAACAGCCAGGTTTGAGAACTGGTGATCTTGTCCAGCCAAGGAAGAACTTGACTTACCCAAGGCCACAGGGTGGCTGGTCAGTGACAGGGTTGGGAGCACTCCAAGCCTGTGCTCTTCCTACTGCTTCTCCATGTTTAGGATCAAGGGCATGTGTCTGAATCTGACGAAAACCAAAATAAATTCCTTTTGGTTTATCTGTGGTTTTCTATGATTCATGCTCAGTCTCTGTTCATTTATGTAAACCACTGAGAATTGACATTATGTATATATTTTTGCTTCCAACCTGAGCTCTTTCAAGCAACTGGGCTCCCACTCAGCTGCCCTCCCCTCACCCTCTGTGCTGTCCGGACTCCAGGTGGTCCATTCCCTTCTCCGCGCCATCCTTCCCCAACCTGTGCAGCTGGGGCCCTCTCGCTCAGTGACGCTGAGGAGACTCTGGCCTGCCTTGGTCTGGGTCTGGGGCTTGGAAAGGGCTTGAGAGGACCCAGGCTCTCCGTGAATGGAACCCAGAAGGGCATCGAAGGTACTGACTCACCTCAGACTCCAGGCGGTTTGCTTTTTCAAACACACTTGAAGTAGCTGCACAGAAAGCCCTGTAGCTTGACAAGCCAGATGTCAGTTCTGTTCAGCTCAACAGCCACCTAGTAAAGGCCTCCAGGCTCAAGGCTGGTGCCTCGTGAGCCCCCAGAGGGATGCAGAGATGAATGAGGGAGGCACAATGGCCATCCTCCCCGGGAACTCCTCTGTCTCCCCAAGCTGCCATAAGTCATGAGCTGCTCGGCATTCTGCAGGGGCCTCTTGTGCCCCCCCACGTCAGGCAAGGCAAAATATATGTCCCTGTGGGCCTGCAGGACTCTGGCTGGCCAGGAGCGATCCAGACTGATCCCGTCATCAGTGACTGGACCCAGGCCAGCCTGTCACCAGGTTGTGGCCTTTCTGGCGGGTGACCGGAGTCCCTAGTAACAGTGTCTCCAGACTCACCCCTGGTGCTGTGGCCCCGCTACCCTTTGCCAGTGGGAGGAAAGGTGATGGCAAGGCGAGAACACCAGACTGCCCCTGAAGTTCTGTTTTTACTTATAGCCCTGTGACCTTCCTCTATCACAAAGCCTATTTCAAAGTGTTGACCATCTCATGTAAATGATCGAGTGCCGTACTGAAAGGGAAGGGCAGCACGGTTGCGTGAGTAGGAATGGTCCTACAAGGGTCAGCTGTCTACCTTCGTGATTACCTGGCTGCCCAGGAGCTGGGGCTCACTGCCTCTGCCTGGCATCACGGGAGAGCATCATGGCGCGTATCGCTGGCCCCAGCAAATGCATAATTTCTAGGGAACGTGTATCCCTTGAGCACCATCTTAAGGTAGAAGTATCGTAAATCAGGGCCCATGTGTTCACTACTCATCAGGACCATATCTGTTGTGCATAGACAAGTCCACTGGTAATCTTTCCTGCTCTCCATTAGACCTCAAACATCTGAGTCAGCTCTGTGTGTGTGTGTGTGTGTGTGTGTGTGTGTGTGTGTTGGGGGATGGCATATGCATCATTTCTTTTACCCCAGCACGAGCTCACAAACAGGGAGATGGCCATAATTTATTCACTGACATATTCAGTGATTCAATGACCATTGATTAAGCACTATATATATCAGACATGGTACCGAAGATGAAAAAAAAAAAAAAGAAAGAAAACAAACGTGGAAAAGATGAATAACCAAAATGCTGCTTTTCATGATGGTTGCCGTTGGCTGTGACAGGACTGTGTGCTCCCATCTGCAAAGGTCTTCGACCGTGGGGAAAGCCAGGGAAGCTTGTTGGAGGACATGACTCCTAAGCTGAATCCTGAAGGTCATGTAGGAGTTAGGGTGAAGGGGTGGGCCATGAGATGAGATGGCATGGAGCCTCAAGCAGGTGAATGGGGCTTTTCAAGACCTGAAATTGCTCAGAAATGATGGAGCTTACCCAGGGCCTAAGGGGTGGGAGGCAGGAGAGTTGATCGTGCTGCTTCATCCGTCCACTAGGGGGCGATGGAAACCCAGAATGCCCTGCTCTGCTGCTCCACAGTGGGGTTAGAGATGGGAGGCACCACTTGACTAGAACATGGCACAGGAAATGCCCTTCCCACCCATCAGGGTGATGCACAGATACAGAGGGCGTCCCATTCCTGCCTCACTACTGTGAGTCGTGTGGCCACCCCTGCCCACTCAGATATGAAATACTTGGCCAAATGTGTGGTCGTGGCTGCCTCGGAAACAAAGATTCCAAGTCCAGCGTCTCCAAACACACAGGTGAAGTTAATAAGCAGAACCCCAGAGCCCAGGTCAGCTCAGCTGTCAGACCACAGCAGCTCTGTGTCTGGGAGTTGCTGGTTTTACTCATGGATTCTCAAAGGGCGGGCGTTTTTGCAGGGCAGGAAGCTCTTTCCTGGTTCATCTGCCCATCAGGCAAGCCACAGATGTTCAGGTGGGGCTGTCTCCAGCTCGCAGGATGGTTGATAGCAGCACTAGGAGGACATTTTGGGATAAGCCAAGAGGCTTCAGAAGAGTCGGCATAGAGCCAGACATCCCCTACAGGGAGCCCCAGCCCGTACGTGCTGAACTGCCCTGTTAACAGGACTACAACAGCTGAAAACATTGCCCGGGTCAAGCTGGGCCTCCGTCCTCTAGTCTAGGATCCATGGGGCCTTGGGTTGAAGAGCAGAGGATACCCTGCCCCTCACAAGCGTCCATCACGAGCGCGTATTAACGGCCTTTGTCGGTCTCCTGGTATATTTCACATTCAACCTCTTGGGATAAGTTCTGTGTTGCTTTCTTGGTGTCTAGAGAAGTACTTCCTTTTCTTTAGTGTTCAAACATCTCAGGCCTCCGGAGCTCCCTACTCTTGGTGTTGAGAGAGCTGCCAGGAGGACCGTGTGTGTTCCAAGCCAGTGCCTTCCTTTAGGTCATTGACTAGGACATCTGTGTTTCCTCTTTCTGCACAGAAGACATTCTCCCATCGATTGGTACCTGGAGGTTAAAAAGGCTGAGGCCTTGAGAGAGTGAAGGAAGAAGGGTTCAGATTGAGCATCAACCATGGGCCAGTGCTGTCACCTAAGTAGTCTTGTGTTAGCTTTACACCAAGTCAGAAAAGTGGGGAAAAGGAGGAAATAGACTCAGGAGTTACGATGCCTGTGTGAGGTCACACGGTGAGGTGAGGGCTGGGATTGCATTCTTTCTGATCCCAAAGCCTATGTTCCCAGCCTGCCACCCCATGTGCCTCCCCAAGACCTGAGAACCCTGTGGCAGGTCCTCAGGGTGGGATCTGCGTTGGTCCGAGCCTGCCTGCCCAGGGCACAGGTTTCCAGATTGCAGTGGTGGAAAAGCTGCTTCTCTCCCTTACACAGGCCTTTCCTCTGCTTCTCAGTGATTACAGGATGGGTCCTCAGACCAGTGATTTCTTTCTTTTTTTTTTTTTTAAAGATTTTATTTATTTATTTGACAGAGAGAGATATCACAATTAGGCGGAGAGGCAGACAGAGAGAGGAGGAAGCAGGCTCTCTGCTGAGCAGAGAGCCTGATGTGGGGCTCGATCCCAGGACCCTGGGATCATGACCTGAGCCGAAGGCAGAGGCTTTAACCCACTGAGCCACCCAGGCGCCCCAGACCAGTGATTTCTATAACAACATATGGTAGGTGGCTTCCCATAGCTTCAGAGGTGGGACAAGTCAGCACATCCCTGAGTGCACCTGCCCCATGCCACATAAGCCAGAAATTACATGGCTTTCCCATAACCGGAGGGCAGCCCGGGAAAAGTCCTGTCATTTGTGGCTCTTGCTGCACTCAGGGCCAGACTCTTGAACTGGTTGGCTGACTATCTGTCCATCCTCTGAATGAAGCATTGTCTTCATTCATGAGTACTTGTTGGATGTCTGACGGGTCTGGGGTTAGACGCCTTGGGAATGAGTCACTTATGGCAAACTTGTCTTTCATGGGACATTTAGCTACCCTGAACCTTGGTTTTCCTCTTCTCTAAAATGAGAATGCATCCTAGGGGCTTTCCAGTGCTGCTACGAGGAATACATGAAGTAACATTTGAGTACCTCACGACCCATCCGGGTGGTTGCTGGTGTTAAGGCCGTGTGCGAGGCCGTGGGCTCTTCCCCTGAGTCGCCGAGGATGGGGGGGCCTCCAAGTGAGACTTGCTTTTGCTTTCAGAGCCAGCCAAGTTCACTTAAGGGTCCAGATCTGCAGATGGCAGTGGTGGTCTTAGCTGTGGCCCTGCCTGGGTACTCATCTGAACCTTCTTGCACTGGAATGTGGTGTAGACCAGGGGGACTCAAACGTTCATGCATACATCACCTGGGAAGCTTGTTATGGATGCAAGGGCTTCCTGTCTAGAGGTTCTAATGCAGTGGGGTCAGAAAAATGGTTTTTGAAAAGCTAGACTCCGGGCCAGGACAGGTTAACAGGGGCCCCGCTGAGGCACCAGGACAGTCTCCCAGGAGGAGGCCATCTGGCATCTCCAGCCTCCCTCCCGGCTTGTGGGGATGGATGGGGTGGGGGGGTTGTTTCTCTTGAAGATAATGAGGGCAAGAGTCAGTTCCTGGGAAGGAGGGCTGAGGGTCGGGAAAGGCAGGGGTGGGCAGGCCCTGAGCAAAGCCCGGTGGGGCCCAGCAGGGATGCAGGTGCGCCATGAGTGCACCTGGCCCATGGGGGCCGAAGAGGCTGATGCCGAGGGGCTGAGCTTTGCTGTGTTTCTGTCTTGCTGCAGATTGTGTTCCGGAAGATCAGCGATGTGAAACGTGAGGAGGAAGAGCGCATGAAACGCAAGAATGAGGCCCCCCTGATCTTGCCCCCGGACCACCCTGTCCGGCGACTCTTCCAGAGGTTCCGGCAGCAGAAGGAGGCCCGACTGGCTGCAGAGCGGGGCGGCCGCGACCCCGACGACCTGGACGTGGAGAAGGGCAGCGCCCTCCCGGAGCACGCCTCGGCCAATCACAGCCTGGCGAAGGCCAGCGTGGTGACCGTGCGTGAGAGCCCCGCCACGCCCGTGGCCTTCCAGGCAACCTCCACAGCTGCAGTGGCAGACCACGGCCGGCTGCACGCGCCTGGGGTTGAGTGCTTGGGTGCCAGGGCCGGCGGCGGAGGAGGCGACTGCGCCAGGCGCAAGGGCTGGGCCCGCTTCAGGGATGCCTGCGGCAAGACTGAGGACTGGAGCCAGGTGGCCAAGGCCGAGTCCATGGAGACGCTCCCCGACAGGACCAAGGCGTCCGGAGAGACCACCCTCAAGAAGACGGACTCCTGCGACAGCGGCATCACCAAGAGCGACCTGCGCCTGGACAACGTTGGCGAGGCCAGGAGCCCCCAGGACCGAAGCCCCATCTTGGCGGAGGTCAAGCACTCTTTCTACCCCATCCCTGAGCAGACACTGCAGGCCACGGTCCTGGAGGTGAAGCACGAGCTGAAGGAGGACATCAAGGCCTTGAACACCAAAATGACAAATATTGAGAAACAGCTCTCTGAGATACTCAGGATATTAACTTCCAGAAGATCCTCTCAGTCTCCTCAGGAGCTGTTTGAGATATCGAGACCCCAGTCCCCAGAATCAGAAAGAGACATTTTTGGAGCAAGCTGAGTGGTTTGTTTAAAAAAGAGAAAGAAAGTCAAAGATAAAACCCCGCCTCCCTGCCCTCAACACCCCTCCCACCACACACACCTATATGACCAACAACTTCCAAAGTAGGCTTTTCCTGACAGAAAATCGGAGCGGGACCAGTTGCTTAGGCACACACTCTCTCGCTCGCTCTCTCACTCGCTCTCTCTGGGAGCAGATGTGGGAAGAGGCTCATGCCACTATCCTGCAAGATGGCAGCCGCTCTCGAACTGTCTGCACAATTTTGGAAGAGGGGGCATGCTGTCTAAAGGGTATCTTCCTTCATTTTTAATTTTTTACTGCCATGATCTTTGTAAAAGAGGACAACCACTAGAAAAGAGGAGCAGCTACTTGGAGACTAGTGGGAGCGCCCTGGAGAACCCCCTCATGTAGATACCAGGCTGGGCTCCTGCGCCAAGAACCCCAAAGACTGAGGTGGGCACAGGGACTTCCCAGCATTCCCTGTCCTTGTACAGCCCATGTCTGTCGTCATCTTCTATTTTCCTACGGTAGTCATTTGTAACCAGCCCAGGACAAGGGGAGCTTGAGGGATAAGGAGGGAAGAGCCTTGCAACTTTCTGTCCCTAATGGTTAAGACCAGAAAGCCGTGAGGTGCTTTGGGTACCTCCCATGGGCACTGAGAGCCGGGAATCCTCGGGTCTCCTTTTCCAAGTAGAAGAGCTGGAAAGGGGTTTTCAGGAAGCGGAGACTTTCTGGGCTGTGCTCTGCAGCCTGCTATCATGGGAGAGACCACAGGGAGGGTTCCAAAAGCCTCTCATGCACCTCTGGCCCTGCTCCATGCCTCTGTCCTTATCGCATGGGCCCCTTCGCTTCTTTTCCTTCTCAGCCTCTCCCCCAGTGTTCCTGTGGCCTTCCTCAGGGTGTGCAGCATCGGCAGGAAGGGCAATGAGCCCAGAGTTGCTTTGTTAGCAAAGCAGACACACACACACACACACACACACACACACACACACACACACAAACCTCAGAAAAATGATTGTAGCAAGTCCTATGTTCTGATTCTCACTGGGATTGAGGGTCCTTCAGAAGTTTTTATTTTGTCCACTGCATGGGGTCATTAGAGGACCCTTGGGATCCATGCTTGGCCTTATTTTAAAATTAACTTCTTTTTCTCTAGCTACAGTCAGCAGGACTTCGGGAGAAATGGAGAAGACTGCAGGCCAAGGCTGTACTTGCTTCAGGTGCAGGAGAAAGAGAAGGAGGCAGCAGGTTCTCCGGATGGCTTTGTAGGGTGAGGTAGAGAGGAGGCCCAGGGAAGGTCTGAGCTCAGGGCGACAGTCACAGAGCCACCTGTGGGCCACCCAGATCCTTATGCCAATGCTCGGGGACACTCTGTTGCCTCCTAGGCACCTGCGGTCAAATTATTCATGTGTTTGGGCTCTTTCCAAGGGCATCTGAGAAGGGAAAGAGGTCTCTCCTAGGCCCAGGGGAACTAGCTCAGGTGAATGCCCTGCAGAGAGGGTCAGGACCCTAAAACTTGACAAGCAAGGTTGGAAGTTCAGCTCTAAGAACTAGCTTGGAGAGAGAGGGGACCTGGACTCTGGGTGACAGCAGGGACTCATCCAGGGCTCTGGCTTTCTGCATGGGTCACACTACAGCACCTCACCCCTGCACCTGGCATGACTTTGCTGCACGGATCCTGAACCCGGGCTCATCCCCTCAGTACTAGAGGGGACCTGCCAGGGCAGGACTTGCCCTACCAAAGATACTCAGCATTTCTGAAGATCTCCTGTCAGCACCCACATACCCACATGTCCCTTTGGTCCTGTTCAGTGGCCATGACAGGTCCCAGGACTCGGCCTTCAGCAGTCTGTGCAGAATGGGGTTGTCCCTTCCTGGCACCCAGCACTGGCACAGATGGCCCTGGGGAACAGAGATCCAGAAAGTGAAGTTTCCTTCTCCAGGGGTCCCATATAACTTATTCACCCACTCATGGGAGGCTTACTGGGGTGGTTCCTGGCTTCCCAAGCCTACAGCATTATTCGATCTAGCCTCAGATGGCAGCGTAGAATGAGGGGAAGTATATTTTCCCAAGGCCAAGTCATGACTGTTTGTGAGTCTGGATAAAGCAGTGGGAATTTCAGTCTCCTTGAGAAGCTGCCAACTAGTCCAGAGGCTCTAAAAGATCTGGAATCCCATCTGCTCCAGAATATTCTGGTTTGGTAGTCCTTAAATGTGCTCATTAGCCTGCTTCTGAAGTTTAGTGCCCACTACTTTCAAGTCAGGGGTCAGGGCCCTAATAACTCCATTACCCAGCTTCGGAAGCACCCGCCCAGCTCTCTGCGGGTTTGATGACAGGCTCCTGTACAGCACCCTGCAGGCCAACCTAATGGGGCCCTTCCCCACTGGCTCTGCTGAAGGGCACAGTTGTTAGTAAGAAATGACTCCCCACTGGGGTCTAAGGGGCAAAGACACTGATGGGCCAGACTTGAAAGTCCACACTTGTCTTGAGGGAAAAATAAAGCTTCATGAATGTACCCATGGATTGACTCCTAGGATTTGGATAGGGCTCATGACCAGAAGCCTGGATCCTGTGGATGGAATGTGCTCATCTCGGGGTCACAGGGCCCGCACGTGAGCCTGTGGTGACAGATCACCGCAGTGTGGCTGTACGTGCTTTTACTCTTTTCTGCTTAAAGATTATAGGGACTTGTGCTTTGTTTCCTCTGGAAAAAAATTTTTTTTAAATGAGCCAATCCTTCTCTCCTTTCATCTTTGCGACATGCATGTGGCCGTGGGCTGCTTTGTGCTAACTACCTACTCTTGCCTGGATGCAGCTCTGGCTTCCTGAGCAAGGGCCACAAGCTCCAAATACTGACTGAACCTTCTGGTGGCTGAAGAGAGGTTAGGGAAACAGGGTCACTAGGTGTTGGACCAAACATTTAGACTTTAGAAGTTCGGCTGAGACATATTTACCTGAGTAATTTGTTCCTTTCCGAGGGAAGGGGACATAATGTATTATACCATTCCATTACCCAGTACTTGCTGGTTACTTGATCTCATACTTAAACTCCTTACCTTTAATGTGATTTGCAGGGAGGCTTCGCTTTCCAGAGTGTCCCTGCTTTGGAGCCAGAGGTCTTGCCCCAGCACTTGGCTGCTTATTGACCACGCTCTCCTCTCCCCCACTGAGGGAGGTGTGGGGTTGAGAGTTGAGTCTGTGAAAGAAGATGGCCAACCAGATGGTGCACTTGTTCTTGGTGGAGGATGCAGACTCCAGCTTTGAGGGCTGCTGGCCCTTATACCTGCAAGGATACCTCCACCAAGTAGGATAAGGTTCCCCCAGGAAGGAAAGGGAGGCACCCCTCTGGCTGAGAAGCCCTGGTTTCGTGCACAACTTTGATATCTGTACCTTCATCCACCTTATTCTCTCATGCTCAGACCTGGCTCGTTCCTAAGACCATTTTTTAATTCTCAACCCCAGACTACATCTGTGTGCCGAGTTTGTAGCCAGTAGCAGGCAACCAATGGCTTAAAACATCTCTGATGCTACAATAACATGGGCCCAAGTGTTTCAAAGTGGTTCCGATTCCTTGTTATCCAATTCCTGGGCCTATTTTACCCTCAACCTTCTAGATCCTGTGTGCTGTTGCTGGCCAAATATCAGGCCCTTTTCTGGAACCTTCTTTCAGAAGTGTGGAGCCAGCATGGCACAGAGTCAAAAATGCCTTGCACCACTGCAGCCCATCCCTCAAGCTTCCCCTCCTGAATCCTTCGGTGGAAGGTCAAAGTAAGAAGCCTACTGTTAGAATTTTTGTCCAAGCCTTTGTGGGAACTAAAAGAATGCCTTAAGGGGGTCCCAGGTGTAGGGAGAGCCTCCTCTCCCCTTGTTGCCTCGACCACCATATGGCACATACACTCTAGAAAATTTTAGGAGCCCTGGTGGAGATAAAAGTTTCTGATGTGCATTCAATTAATACATTGTACGTTTTGCAATAAAGATGTTTAGCCTTAAGACCCTTGAATGGAACTCCAGCTGGGATGGAGCTACCAACACTCCCCCCCTCCCCTCCTCACTCGTGTTGCTTAAAGAGAAACCCCTTAAGGGCACTCTCCGACCCCAGGGTAGCCTCTCCTCTGTCACGAAATTGTACTGCCTTCTCGCTCGCTTCAAGACCAATACTTCCACCAGCTCTTGTGCCCTCCAGCTGGGGGGACTTCACTGTCCCCTCAACACCATCCACAGCCACCAGAGAAAGCATCATTTTCTCACACAAGGCATTCGTGTTTTGAAGTTTTGAATCCCACTCTCCCCGCCACCACCATACACGGTTCAAAAGAATCAATGTGAATTTGCAGCTTAAATTAGTTTCAAATGAAACGTCTTTCTCATGCGAGCAAATCAGACTCATTCTGGAACCTCTAGAACTGGACTCGAGTGCCCCACAGGCGCCAGACCCAGTGGGTGCCCTCCCTGCCCCAATGAATGTATTCTCTTAGTATTCAGACGTTGTCTTTCTGCATCGGTGAGAGGCTGTCCACAGCTGATGGTTCGCCAACCCCGTAAAGACACTTCTACTCCTGAGCAGCCCGTCAGTCTGGGGCTTCTCCTTATATTGATATCTTTCCATTGAGTCCCGCCAAATCCTCCATTGGGTTTTTCTTTTTCCTTCACATCTGCCACTTTGTCCAAATGAGCATGAATAGACAGAAGTGCAAATGAGCTGATACTATTTTTATGGTCAGCTGACCATGCTGCCAGAAACTCCACTGTATGTGTGCACTTGGGAATGGTAAAAGGAATATGCGGGCCCCTCCATTGATGATATGCCCTTCTCAACATTTTTAAACAAGCACAAATGATATTTGTAAAAAAAAAAAAAGTTTAATTTTATTTATTATGGTAATAAACTATTTTATACAGGATACTTGCTTTTTGCCTTTTCTTACATAATTTAAAGGCATTGAATTGGATGTTCTGGCCTAAGATGACAACAAGGATGGTACTTTCTATTCCTTTC